TGGATAGGCTGACCAAGGCACTGCTAAAGCCACAGCAACGGCTCCATGCTTTTCGGGTGTTTCTTATCCCTCAGCTTTACCACAAGCTTGTATTAGGCAATATTATGATTGGCAGTTTAAACAAAACAGACAGGTTGATAAGATCCGCTGTACGAGCCTGGTTAAACTTGCCTAAGGACACGCCAGTGCCCTTTTTCCATGCGCCTATAGACCAAGGTGGCCTTGGCATACCATCACTGCGCTATCAGGCCCCTTGACTCAGACTTAAACGTCTGAGAAATCTCAAGCTGCCAAATCTGGTAGAGGTGGTGACAGCTGACATCTTTATTGCTGCTGAGTTGGATAGAGCTGAGAAAAGATTAAGAGCTAATGGAGAACTGCTAACATCAGCGGCGCGTATCGCAGAATTTTTGAGCCGGAGACTGCACGCTTTGATTGATGGATCTGGTCTTCGTGAAGTAAGTCACAATATAAAGTCGCATAGATGGATCCGTGAGCCTACTAAGTTGCTATCTGGCCGCGATTTTGTGAATTGTATAAGACTTCGCATCAATGCTCTTCCGTCTAGATCAAGGACGTCGAGAGGTAGACCGGCTATGGATCGCACATGCAGAGCCGGCTGTGGACAACCCGAAACCACAAATCACATTGTACAACAATGCCATCGTACCCACTCGTCCAGAATCAATAGACACAACAGCATAATCAATTACATTGAGCGAAGTCTGAAGAATAAAGGTCTCTCCACTATCCAAGAGCCCTATGACTCTCTTAAGGCCTCATGCATTTGTGGTCTAGCGACGAACATCAGTCGCATTGCTATACCAACATATAGTGCCGATTACTGTGTATCCATGATGGGTGATGAGATTCCGTCAAGAACCACTCTGAGCCCATTTTTGGATTACATGGTTTTGGCTATATGCGTCTTGACCGTCGACGCTTAATAGGAACTAAAAATACACGCTTGGTTGCCTTATTTTTTATTTTTTTTTGGTTGGATAGTACGCAGTGCTGGCGGAGTAACACGCCGCTAGCAACACGCTGCAAGCAACACGCCGCAAGCAACACGCTGCAGGCAACACGCTGCAAACTTAGACGTAGCAGGCAGAGACTGGTAGACGAGAATGGTTACTCGGGCATGGATGCGCAACACAGATCTTTATGATCCCTCAGCCTCTCCATGTCAAGTTATACACCTACCTCCTCGTGGTACCGCCGGTAGCGCAGAGCTTGCGGCAAAATGGTGTTATAACGAATGCGCCCTAAAGGGTCTTGAGCCCATGTGCCGAGTCCATGGTCAGTTGTGGGGCCAAGAAAGGATAGGCTTCTCGGGGACTTTCAGCCGCCATGCTGTTTGCTCCCCACACGCAATTAAAATATAAGTACAAAGAATAAGAATGAATCTCGCCCGGGTTATCGGATGGCCCGGGCACTGCGTGCTTCTGACGCTAGCGATGCAGGTAGTGGATCAGCGTCTTCATATCACGGAGATGTCAGTGGTCTCCCCGCGCGGACTCGCGTTGCCACCAATGCGGCGACTAACGATGGGCCAGCCGCGAGTACTGCGGAAGAGAGTTCCGGAACAAGCGTGGCCTGGGTGTACACATTGTACGTGCCCATGCCGAACAAGCTAACAGCGCGATCAATGTCGAGCGCGTTAAGGCCAGATGGCCCGAGGAGGAAGTACGTCTCATGGCCCAAGCTGAGGCTTCAACCACCTCAGCGGGGGTTCTCTTCATGAACCAGTTTCTCCACGAGAGGTTCCCCCATCGAACCTTGAAATCAATCAAGGGTAAGCGTCGACAAGAGGCTTATTGCTTGCTGGTCCAAGAGTTCAGCTAAGAGGTCCCGTATAACACGGACGGTGACGATGCTGGCGGAGACGAGACCGATGCGATGATGACACTAGTCGCCGGTCCCGCCGCCATTGAGACGGAAGAAGATTCGAACAACAAAGTCGATGTGGCATCGCAGTCCTCACCTCATATTTCCGCTACGGGTAATGAGAGGCTTCGGGAAGTAACGGAGGAGCTCCTTGAGAGGGTTAGACGTTATCGTTGCTATAAGGCTGGATCTCTGCTGACGGTCCGCACGAGATTTTCTGGAGGGAAGAATTGACGTCCATGCCATTGAGAGATGGCTGGGCAAGATCTTTCCGGTACAGACGGTGCACTCTCCTCGACGTGCTAAGACTAGAAAGCGCAATCTTCTTGTCATAAGAGAGAACAGAAAGCAGATGAGGATGAGAGAATTTGCCATAGTGCAGTCTCTATACAAGAAAAACCTCAAAACCTGTCTTTCGCATATACTCGACGGAGACTCCACACGCACGCGTCCGTCTGCTGTGGAATTCCGCGACTACTGGCGTCCCGTCATGGAGGCGTTTAGTGTTGCGGATGGAAACATGAAGGCACTGCGGAAGAGGTACGACGAAGCGAGGCAGGCGGCCAGTTCCATCCGGAGCCTTCCGTCGACTACCAGAGGGATTTATCTCGAAAGCGTCGATGAGGGCGTGACTGAGGCTAGCAGTCCACCGGTCGATAAGTCCTTGCTCTGGGATTCGATTACGACTTCTGAAGTCATGCGGATTTCTGTAAAGAATGGTTCGGCGTCAGAATTGGACGGCATAGAGCCACGGGCTTGGAACGCTGTTCCAGCACCTATCCATGCGTTGCTGTTCAATCTTTTGCAACTTGCGAGGGAGGCTTCCTCCTTGATCACCACTACCAGGACGGTATTCCTAGAAAAGGGGACGATGCCAGAACGGCCTAGGCTTCGGACTATCGACCTCTTAGTATAGGATCCGTCGTGTTGAGGCACATGCATAAAATCTTGGCAAAGCGTCTGTCGGCTCTCGATATCTTTGATAAGAGACAACGGGGTTTTCGGCCGGTGGATGGGGTCTGTGAGAACGTCACGATCTTGTCTGCCTTGTTCGCAGACGCCCGCAGGAGTTGCAGGTCACTCCATCTCGCCTGTGTAGACCTGTCGAAAGCCTTCGACACGGTCTCGCACGAGGCTATTTTTGCAACACTCGAGGAAGTAGGGCTGCTGCTAGCTTTCCGAGAGTACATCGAGGCCACATATCGAGACGCATATACGGTGCTGCACAACACCGGTAGCAATGTACCTAGGATTCAACTGGGACGTGGTGTGAGACAAGGCGATCCTCTGTCGCCCCTGCTGTTCAATCTGGTCGTAGATAGAGCATTGGGGATTCTCTCTGAGGATGTTGGTTATCGTGTCGGCGGTCGGATGATTAATGCGCTGGGCTATGCTGACGACATTGTGCTTCTGTCTTCTACCAAAGCTGGCTTACTGGAGAATTTGACACGGCTTCACGAAGCTTTTGTGCGTAATGGGCTTAGCATAAACGCAAAGAAAACCGGAGTGCTCTCCATCGTGGTCTCCGGTAGATATAAGAAAGTAAAGGTGGAAACTCGATCTAGCTTCACCGTGGGGGGAGAGGTGATACCGCAGAGATCCCCAACAGAGGTATGGACTTACCTCGGTAATTCTTATCTAGGTGCTAGGGAATATGCCTGCATCCCACCTTTAGCTCACACCATCGAGCTACTTACAAAAGCACCGTTGAAACCTCAACAGAGGCTACGGTTGCTGTGTGACTACCTTCTTCCTCGGTATTACCACCGATAGATTATGGGATCAGTCAGCGCCAAAATATTAAAAAGTGTGGACGTGCTAGTAAAAACTGCGGTTCGTCGCTGGCTGCGTTTGCCCCATGATGTGTCTGCTGGATACTTTCATGCGCCGATACAAAGTGGCGGTGTTGCCTCTCTTAAGAGCTCTAATCCCTATTCTGAAGTATAACCGACTGCGGAGGTGTGTACGAGGTTGTGTACGAGCTCGTTGCCGGCGTCATCGGCCGCTGCCGAATCTACGTATGTGGCTAGGCAATTGGCCTGGTATGAAAACCAGATGCGCGTCCGGACGTACAGAGTCACCACGACCGACGAGTTTCGGCAGCAGTGCGCCGCATGGCTGCACGAGTCGTGCGACGGGAAAGCTCAAGGAGGTCGTAAGATCCAAGCTGAGTTCCTACTGGGTAACGGGTGGCGCCGACTCAATTCCCGGAGCTGACTATGTGCATTACCACCACGTGCGGGCTAATTGCTTACCGTCGAAAGCGAGATCTGCCCGAGGTCGTCCGGAGCGCGATGTGCGTTGTCGTGCTGGTTGTCCCGACACCGAGACACCGGCGCACTGCGTGCAGAGATGCTTCAGGACGCACGGAGGAAGGATCCTACGGCAAGACGACCTGTGCCATCAAGTCGGTGGCTTCTTAAGACAGAAGGGATGGCATGTCGATGCGGAATTAGCGTACTCGACCACTGCCGGTAGGCGCCGACCCGACCTGACTATCGCCAGAAGTGACGAGGCGGTAGTCGTAGACGCAGAGGTAGAGTCCAGCGAAACTGCGTTGAGTGTTGCTCACGACCCTGGCGAAAATAGGATGTTTATTAAAAGTTTATAAGAAGTTTGCTGAAGTGTTGAGTAGATGTTTTATTTGAGATCTAAAACATTTATGAAAGTGTTTATAAGATGGAAATTTAAACACCAAATTGTTCACGAAATGTTTACGATTATGTTTAATAGGCGTTGAGAAAGTGTTATGTAATGTTTTTGCAAATATTGTAAATGTTCAGAAAGTGTTTTTTCTTAAACTCTTGCCAAACATTGGAACATTGCACACTTTGGAAACATTTTACAAACTCTTTAACATCAACAATAAAAACAGTTGCAACACTTTATAAACACTTTAACAACATCAATAAAAAACAGTACACAACATTTCCCGAACACCTCAAATATAATCGTGCACATCTCATAAATCTGTTAAAAATAATTGATTAAAATAAAGTTTTTTTTTTAAAATAATTTTATTTAATATAAATAAAGAACATAAATCATAGAATAATTAAAAGAACATAATCATAGAATAAATCATAGAAAAATTGTTTCTCTAAATTTTTTTTATAATATAATTTATAATATAATATATTCTGTATTAATTTAGATAACCAAAGATAAGTATTGCGCATAAGAATCAATCGATTAAAAATGTATAGTGCTCATTTGTAACTCATGACAGTAGGTTAAATTTTTTTCTTGAAGTCTTAAAGTGTTGTTCCTGATTTCTGGAATATAAAAAGCCGTCATTAGAATTAAGTAAGATTATTCTTTTTACGTAAAAACTATAAATAAATTTACTACAATTTTCTGACATGGAATAATTGGAAGTTATTAGAACTGCTGTTGGACCCTGCGGTTCATATATGTCATAAAGAGTCAGCCAGCTCGAACAGCTAGGCTCTGATAATGCTGTATGTTCAAAATATTTTTGTTGATTTTGTAATTGCTGAACTGATGATTCTTAGTGATTAAATTGCAATTGTTGGGTTATTACTGGTTGCTGGGTTATTACTGGTTGCTGATTTATTACTGGTTGTTGAGTTATTACTGGTTGTTGAACTGGTTGCAGCAAAGAGCCTCTCCTTTAATATGATCTTTTTTTTCTATTAGAATCAAGTTGTAGTGATTGTTCACTAGGCGTACCGCTTTTTTTTAGACGGGGTCCATTCATGTCAATACATCTTTTCGAAAGATATGTTGGGAGACTATTAATCAAATCTTCTATTTGGGCAGAACTATATTTACGGTCTTCAGTATTCCCTATCGTAAGACTTTCAAGCCATTTTCTGTAATGGTCTGTAAATTAATACATTTACTATTAAAACAAGTATGTGTCCAAAATATACATAAAACTATTCAATAGAATACAAAATCTTACATTTGGCACCATTTACAAAGTAACGTGAAAAGAATTGTAGGTTTGAACTCCGAGGCTTTCCGTATCGCATATTTCGAGCATTGTCACCATAGACGCCTATAAGGAGTGCTACAGCCCAGTCAGAATGCTCCTTGATTGTACTAAGAATTTGATGAGCATATTTGGAGCACATAATTCCTTCACCAAGATGTACCTTAGAAAGTAGCAATAAATTGATTAAAAAAACTCGACAAAAACATAACTTATAAAGAACATTAAAAAAACATTGAGGTACTGGCGTATATGTATGTATTTTTTATTCAAAAAAAAAAAGAATATACAGGGTAAGTTATTTTAATCTATGGATCCGAATATCTTCCAAATTACGGTATCTACAAAAAAATGGTTTAAATAAAAGTTGACCAGGACAGAGGGGGTCATTTAATTGTACTATTGGTTTTGACCTTGAGGTCAATTTTGAAGGTTATTTCAAGGTCACGATGGTTTTTTTAAATGGGACACCCTATTTTTGACTGCGGATTTCAAAAGAGCGGAAAATTTTACATCAAACTTGTCTTATGAAAAAATTGTTTTTGCGACCTTGGAAAGGTCAAAAATGAAGGTGAAATGCCTGAAAAACGATCTGGTGTAGTTTTTCTGAAATGACGTGGTTTTCTGGGTAACACAAATGTGCATAATGCTTAAACAAAGTCAATAAATTGTAAAAGTGTAAATCACTTTGACTAGCTTGACCTTGAGGTCAATTTTCAAGGTTGTTTGAGGCTCATAACGCATTTTTGATTAGTAAACCCTATTTTTGACCGCTGAACCTGTTTCTTGACAATGGGCTCTTAAACAATGGCACTTTTTACATGAGCATAGGGATTTTTTAGTTTTTTGACCTGACCTTTTGAAGGTCATATCAAGGTCAAAAGCACTTTCATCTTACTTTTAGCGTTACCCGGAAACAACGACGTGGACATAGTAAGTTCTGTTTCCTTTAGGGTGCTTGATTATCGGTCAATAATTATAAAAATGTTGTTTTTGCTGAACGACCAACCACAAGAGATGATTTTATGGACCGCATTCGTAGAGCTTGTGCAGCCATTCCTAGAGCTACCCTGCTTAGAACTGTGGATAGTTTTCAAAACAGATTGCAGTTATGCCTCGAAGCCAACGGAGGTAATTTTGAACAATTACTCCGTGGGTAATTCATTTAAATTACAATGTCAGTGAGAGGCAAGGGGACTCACGATAATCAAGCACCCTAAAAGAAACAGAACTTACTATGTCCACGTCGTTGTTTCCGGGTAACGCTAAAAGTAAGATGAAAGTGCTTTTGACTTTGATATGACCTTCAAAAAGGTCAGGTCGAAAAACTAAAAAATCCCTATGCTCATGTAAAAAGTGCCATTGTTTAAGAGGCCATTGTCAAGAAACAGGTTCAGCGGTCAAAAATAGGGTTTACTAATCAAAAATGCGTTATGAGCCTCAAACAACCTTGAAAATTGACCTCAAGGTCAAGCTAGTCAAAGTGATTTACACTTTTACAATTCATTGACTTTGTTTAAGCATTATGCACATTTGTGTTACCCAGAAAATCACGTCATTTCAGAAAAACTACACCAGATCGTTTTTCAGGCATTTCACCTTCATTTTTGACCTTTCCAAGGTCGCAAAAACAATTTTTTCATAAGACAAGTTTGATGTAAAATTTTCCGCTCTTTCGAAATCCGCAGTCAAAAATAGGTGTCCCATTTAAAAAAACCATCCTGACCTTGAAATAACCTTCAAAATTGACCTCAAGGTCAAAACCAATGGTACAATTAAATGACCCCCTCTGTCTGGTCAACTTTTA